ATCTTTCCCAATGAAACTGGCCAAAGACGCATTCCCTCTGTGCCACCCTTACCCCTACACCATGCTTGACCAATTCCTAGATGATGGTCTGAAAGTCAGTCGTTGTAACGAGTAATCAATTTTAGATTTTTTTTTTACACGTTAAATGAAAAAAATCACAAGGAGCAAAAAGGGTGGTGATAAAATAACATAATGGAATTTTTCTGCTGGGAAAGTCTTTTTCTATCCAATAAAATTCTCCATATGGCCACTTTGCATTGATTTCTTTTATCCCCTTTTCTCAGCTATTAAAATTTACTCCCTTGCCTCAAGTATCGTGGGGGGAAATATAGGTAGTAGTGATTAAATGCTTGCTCTGTGTCAAGCACTCTTTTAGGCACCTCACATGAATGATCAGCGGTCTTACCCACCTCTTAGAATTATTTGTATAATTATTCCCACCTTCTTCATGAAGAAGCAAAAGGCTGCCCAAAGTCACCCAGCTAGTAAGTGCCACAGCCAGGATTTATATTCAAATTCCCTCAAGTATAAAGTTCAGACATTTTCCTCTATACTGTGTGACCAAAAGTTCATTAGTAACTAATATCAATACTAATTTGCTTTGATGACTACTAATACTTGGTGGAGGTAATCATAAAGAATATTCCTAGTGGTTGAGTAAGGACTGCATTTATGTTACCAAGTCTTAAAAGGTATTGTGGTCATTTTACTCAAAAATCTCTTAGGACATCATAAAAATCTTTTGGAACAGTACTTATGTTTCAATAGGAAGTAATGATATTTGGAGTTATGTTTATCATTTGCCATCTGATATTAAGGGCCATGAATTCTTTCTGCCTCGAGTTTAACTTGCCTTTATCTGTGTTGTTGCAGCACTGGATACCAGTTTATTTACTATTCACCTGAAAACACAGCTAAAGCAAAAGAAGTTCTCAGCAACATCAATCAACTACAACCTCTGATAGCAACCCATGCAGACCTCCTGCTTAGTTCTGCAAGCCAGCATTCTCCAGACAGCCTGAAGAATTCTTTAAAGATGCTTTCAGAAAAAGTAAGATCCAAATCATCTCTACAGTGGGGAAAATGAAATACCCCAATTCCCGTTGGTGTTGCTTTCTGCACACACCGCCTTTCATAGCACCTGCAAGTGTAGAATTGACTAAGTTAAAAAGTAAACTTCAAAGTATTGCCACAGGATCAAAATGAATTAGCCTCATTCTCTTTTCAAATCTTACTGAGCACTAATTTTTTTTCCTAGTTGGAAATGAAACCAGTTATTGGTTGGTGTATATTTTTTCTTGTCCTGGACATCCTTCATTTTCTTTGGTTCGTGGTCTTATAAAATGAATTAAATTAGATTTTGAAAATCACTTGATTTTCCTCTGGTGATCACCTAATTTTTATGCATGTGAAGCTATACATTTGAATAGGAATGTCACATCATTTGAACGCAGGACTTTGATGTGGATTCTTATCCAGGGCAGTGTGGGGTAATTCCTCTGCCTGAGTTCCCTTTCAATATTATGTACTGGGAGAAGGTTCCAAATTGGTCCAAAAATATTTGTTATTATTTGAAATGTAGTGGGACCTCAGCCTTATTTTTTCCAAAGGTGACATACACCTTATATGCAGGAAGGGAAAGGTAGTCTGGCAGGTCATAGATATTCAATATCAACTTCCCTAACTAATTAGGGCAGCTGAGAGAACCAAGACAGAACAAGACCAATTGCAGCTGGATTTTTATGTAAAACCAGATGTCCTGGAGTCCAGTTCTAATGCACTCATGCACATGGCCTTAAGTCAAACTTTCCAAGAGCTAAGCCCTGTGAGGCCTGTCATTGCCCATAAGATGACACCAGAAAGCAAATTCTAATGACAGAAGAACAGATCACTGAGCAGCTACCCGCACTGCTTTCTGTTTCAGGTCGTTGGGAAGTCCTATTCTGTGCCCCCAGAGCTGCTGGGCATCGTCCCCAGCCTGGTGTTGCACCAATGTCTTCAAATCATCATTTTCTTTGCAAAAATAACACAGGTTGTTTGATTATCTGAAGACTGTGGTGGATTAAACTTTGTGTCCAGTCTGAGTACAGATGCGTAGGGGACATCCCAGTCCATGGTTTTTGTTAAAGGTCTTAACACACCCCTGCATAAGAGCAGATGAGCCAGAAGGAGACAATAGGTAATTGGCAGGAGCTATGGTTTCCTTTCTCCTCCTTGCTGTCATTATTCGGCATTTACTTCAATTTGCATTAAAATATATAATAAGTGGTTAACATAGGTTTTATTTTTCAGTTCCAGCTTCTGACATTTAAAAGTCAACAGTACAAAATTGAGAGCAAATTCTAAGTGTCTCAAACGATGTGTTTTTCATAAACCTATACACTTCGTTGACTTCTTGTCCTGTCTTATGAATAGCTCAAGCAACCAAGGACATTTCTTTTCATCATTATGCATAAATAAAAAAATAAATAATGGACGGACAGACAGATGATAGATAGATAGATAGATAGATAGATAGATAGATAGATAGATAGAAGAAATATACATTATATGTTTGCAAGAATGTTGTCTCTGCATAGAGGAAAAGCTGACGGTTGCTAGTTGGGAGGGAGGTGGGGATGAAGGAGAAGGGGAAGGGATTAGACAGCATAAATAGGTAAGTACAATATTACCACAGGGCTATGAAAGAGTTCAGGGAATATAATTAATAATGTTTAAATACTGTGTAGGGTATCAGATGGCCACATGTCTTGTTAGGGAGACCACTTCATGGACAGTGTAGAGGACTGACCACTGCACTGTACACCTGAAGCTGATGTTGAATAATATT